GTGGTTCAAAAAGCCAACATTGCCTGTTGGTCAAAGTTAGACACTCTGTATGTCTAACCTCCCATGCCGACCTCCTGCCTGCGAGGTTTTGACCAGTATAGCGCTTCCACTGCCTTTGCTTCTGAGAGACAACAGTCATTACACAACCTCAAGAGGTTGCTCTTTAGGAAACAATGATGCAAAACACACATGTACTGTGCATGTATATCTTCAGACTAGCCACAATTGAGACCTTGAAAAAGCCTTCAAATAGTCTGATATCCTTAATAAACTGTTTGGAATATTAATATAGTGTTGGTGCCAACACATTTCTGACCTCTTCCTTTTACCCTCACCTCCCATCCTGTTCAGTCTTTCTCAACAGCTACAGTGGTACACTCATTTGAATCTTCTACAATTATTTTTATATCATGCTAACCATATCACAGAAAATATTATTTATTTGAGTCTTTATTATGCGGCAAGAGTCAAAGAAAAGTAATCAAGGGGCAGACCACTCACCACTAAAACAGCTGGTAATGGATGACTACCACTGCCCTGAAATCCCCACTCCCACAGTGTGTATGTAGGAGGGGGGATTTCAGGACACACTCATAGTTACACTCATGTGTAACTGATAAAATGTGTTAAGATGTGCTGTGTTGCTCTTTTGTGGGTTTCAGCTCGAGTTCCTTCTCCTCTGGGGACCTGCGGCCAATCAGAGTCCATCTGGGGGTATGCTAGGGGTTAGGGTGAGGGTGAGGAGCTGCACCTCTGGGCCTCTTGTCCATTTCAGCCGCCTGTTCACACCCATAGTGTTTATGTACTTTGACCTATGCTGTTGTCAGGCTAAGGTCAGAAAAAGAGAAGTTCTCAGTTTAATTACTAATTATTAGCTATTTTTTTTATGTTTAACTCCTTTCCTCTCCCTGATGTTACATTTAAATGTCCACATCTGGCAATAAAAGACTGAAATACTGAACAAATAGACTCCTCATATTCATCTAGTTTTATGCTACTCACACATATATCACATACACTATAACATGTTTAAAGATGAGTGCATTCACAGCTTCACTGTGCAGGTTTTACAGTTGCATTTGTTCTTGTAAACTGTTGTGACTGCTGAACACCATCAGCCGTTAATTAGACAGAGGTGAATTCTATTGGGGTGTACTGTCAGTCAGGAGGAGAGGGTGAGGGAGACATTTGGTGAGTAGAGAAAGGTAAAGGCAGACACGGTCTGTTGATTGAAATACTGTACAAAGAAACTGTGTGAAAGAACACTGATAATCCATGTCCCTCACTCACACACATAAAACAATACTTTTAAAAATACTTGATTTTATATTGTTTTCTTTGATCAAATACTACCAAAGCCAGAGTAGATTCATTGCTCCATTTCCTGATTGGAAGCCCACATCTTCCTGTCTTACTATCTTCATCCATCCATCCATCCATCCACACCCACACACACAGTCATCATCTAACTGGAATGATGTATTCAAGCTGAGCTAAGCCTGCCTATGAGAAACTTCAGCTTACTCGTGTAATTCATCAGTTTTCACACTAAACTGCAATGAAGAGTCAATCCATCCATTTTACATACTTATTCTTGATGGGGTTGGTGCCTCATCTGTCTGCCTTTCGACCAATACATCTTTATGTCTTTCCACCACATCTGTTCAATTTTGCCTGGATATAATTTGCATCCTCGTTCATTTAAATTCAGCAGCGACAGCGTAAACTCGAATTCTCACATTTAAAGTGTATTGGGGATATCCCCAACACCTCTTTACCAACAGCATCAGCTGTTAACAATGAAGTAAATAAAGCCTTCCTGATATACTGCCTTGGATCTCTGAACTAGGAAAAATACATTAAAATTCATGACCACATTCAGATGAATGAAACAAAAATTTTATCTGACGTTGTGATTTTTCCCCCAAAGAAATGGAATGACGCTGATGCGGATTCCTTATGTACTCCCAAATAAACTCCAATAAACCTGTCATTGCATTAATGTAATTTTTCTGCATTTGCTGTGCAATTGCAGTCAAATAGATAATTTGCTTTCATTTTCATTTCTATATATTGATATGTGTGTGTTTCAGTTACAGAACTTGCATTTCTTGACTAACTCAATATACTAAAAGGACCCAACGCTGCATAGTTTGAGAGACAAATTAAGGTTAATTACTGTTACAACATAGATCATTTTTATAATGAGAATTAGAAGGCTTTGCAGAAGCTCATCTTTTAACATTTAGAAAGAGAGAGAGGCTTGAATGCCTGTGACAAACAAAATAACCCTATAAAACTGACCAAATACAGGAAAGAAGAACCAAAGGCCTTATGGGTCTACACATGAACATGACTAAGCTAATACCACTGTCCGTTTTTCAAAATATAATAAAAAGTGCATACACACACAAACACACCCACCATACACAACAACAGGCACACATCCGTAAACACAGGCATACACCAGCAGTGTCCTTGGATCGCTGTTTGGATTAAGCAGCCCTCCAGATAAACAGAGACAATTCGGAAAACAAAACTTTACCTATGGGAGACATTTTGGTGCGTAGTTTTCTATGGAGTACAATAGTAGTACAATATGCACACATTTCTTTTCTTACTGTGAACAATTGAGTGCGACTGAGTGAGCATTTGTATGAATAATGTCAGACCAAAGGGAGGTCAATTTCCTGACTGGGTGAGTGATATTTTGGTCTTGTACCCATGTGTGTCGATGTATGTAAACCGGCTCAAAAAGTTAAACTGTTGTAGTGGAAGCTGGCAAAAAGATAAAACCCATAAAAATACTGTGCAACTTAAACAAGTCATCAGGGTAAAACAAATACACTTCAGGGGCTTTCACACTTGGTTTAGTTAAAATGAACCCTGCTGCGTTTGCCATTAAGTGTGGTTTGTCTGTGCAAGGAAACTTGTCAATAGAGGTTTGATGCAGACTTAACAACCTGACCAAGACAGCCTGAAAAGGAGGGTGTAAGTCTTTCCAAGAGGACTCTGGTGTGTTTCGTTTGTGGTCTGAACGAAAACAGTAACTGCAGTATTTTGTGATTGCAGATGTTAATTTAAACTGATTTCAAAGGCAAACAATTAAATCCATTTGCTGACCATGAACTGTTCAGAAAGCGATCTTATGATAAGTGATGCATATAAGCCATTGAGGCCACACTATATGCAAATTTCACCTTGATCAACCGCAATGTATTGTGCTTGTATCCTACTCTGTGTACATTTTAGAAAAGTCTAGAAAAGTAATGTAAAACACTATGATGAATTGGCTATCAAAGGAGCTTTCAAGCATAGTTTGTTTAGTAAGTATCAGGAGTACTGCTGTAGTAGGAATTTTCCGTCAAACAGTGTGATGAGTAGACGTATTCAGCAACACTTGGTCAGCACACAAAGAAGACTGCCAACGAGTTCAGACATGCGTACAAGGAGAAACTATGGACTAGATACAACATTCATAAAAGATCATAAATGTTAACACATGTACACACTCCAACTCATTGCTCCTTTTCCTGTCTGCAGAAACAGAATTTCCTATGGGGCTCAGGGTCGTATGCACGTGTGTGTGTGTGTGGAACTTCCTGGCAGCCGTTCAGGAAACATCAGTCGATAAGAGCGGAAGGAGACACAAAGGGAAATAAGACACAAAAGACAACATAAAAAGAACAAAATACAGCGAGAGATGGAAGAAAAAAAATGCACCAAAGACACGAGTGATGGGTGGATAGGTTTGTTCCTACCCAGAGACTGTAGATGGAAATTAGTTAATAGCAAAATCTGACATAAATCATTTCTTTTCATTTTCAGATTAATGTTTTTAGGCCTGTTCCTTGGGTGAAATGAAACATGGTGGTCTTAAAATGTTATAAAGTAAGGAGATGTGTTGTGCGCAGCAAAGTGACACCTTTAAGTTGTAGGCTTTTGATGAGGGCTGAGATTTATCAGCATTTCTTTGAGCTGTTAATTGTGTCAAAGCTTTCTGTCGTTTCCTCTGACACTCGCTATTTTTATGACTTAAAAGGTGTTCTGTTACTATGACAATCGGGAACCATGTCATGATATTAGCTGCAGCATAACTACATATTAACCAGAGTATGGATATTCATTGCTGTTCCTGATGTTTTGACATGTTTGACGACATAACATGAAATGTAGTTGTGTAAATGTATTGCAGGTTTTTTAATTGTGGTGAAATGTTATTAAAAACCAACAATAAATAAATTACTTTCTGCAAGAATTCCACCCTTGCCTTAGAGAAAATCTTTCCTGAAAATAGATGCCTAAAGAGCTACAGATTTAATGTACAAGTGTGAAAGCAGATGGGAAAGAATAGTGTTTAAATAAGGAAAATTTGTTATTGGGTTGAAGAGCAAACAGTAACAGGCTAAGAGACTGTCAGAGAATAGCATTGATCATGCAGAGTCAGAATCAAAGAAAAAGCATGGAAAAATAGAGCAAAGATGAATAAAATTGAAAAGTGTTTATTAATCAAAACAGGGTTGAAATTCAGCAGAAACCATGTGGCAGGGAAAGACTGGCAAAACATTTTACCAAAATCAATATACAATGGGGTTATTTGATTCAATCAGAATGGAGTTCTGTTCAATACTGTATTACATGATTGCTTGGTTTAAAAAGGAGAACATTTTTGGACACGGCATTGTATCATCTTTCAAATTATTCAGAAAAGGCCCTCAATGACATTTGGTTCACATTTATAAAAATAAACCTTCCTATAGGCTGCTGAGCTGTGCATCATCCAGGCAAGCCTGTTGATTGGACCAAAGATTGAAATTAGAGGGAGCTGAAATTTGAAACAAAAACGGGTAATGTAGTAGTGTGTCCGCCTGTCTTTCTGGCTGCCTTGTTAGATAAATGAGTAAGAAACCATTATTTTTATAACTGGCCACTGACCTGCCAACCAACCAGAAAGTCTTGTTGAAATGGGCTGAGAATACAGCACTGTGATTGGTTCTTACCATCTCTCGGGGCAGGAACATGTCTTCCTGCCGTAGAACCACAAGACACACGCTCTCTCCCTGCCGAGTGCTGCGTAGCATACACACCAACTCTTCTTGGCCCACACCTGTGATATCCACACCGTTGACCTACACACACACACACACAGATCAAGTCAAAACACCACCAATATCAGCATAACCTTTCAAATCCTTAAATCAAAGAAGATGTCCTTTTTTTTTTTAAATGTCTGCATAAGTCTAGTAACAGTCAGCTGCCTTGTACCTCAAGTATGCGGTCTCCAGACTGCAGGCGTCCATCTTTGACAGCGGCTCCACGTGGCAAAATGTTTTTGACAAGAATGGGACCAGGACCGTGGACTGAAGAATCTCTGGTTACCACAGTAAAACCAAGACCTTCTGAACCTAGACACATACATACACAAAGTAGTGTGAATAGAGAGGTGAGGTACAAAATATAGGCATAAGTAACAGTCCTATACAGTATATCCAGTATAGCTGTTTGCTATCTGCCTCTATATTTGTCTTCCACAAGCTTTGAGAGTTAAAATCTCCTATCCATCCTCCCACACATACACACACACCCTAAACTACTCCTGAGAATTTCAACACAGTGTTGTTGACTCAGCTCCTGACTACATACTGTAAGTGTGATAATGTAAAGCCTTTGGAGATTGTGTGTGTGTGTGTGTGTGTGTGTGTGTGTTTTGCTTTAAACCCTTTAGGTATAGCTGGTGCTACAGTATCTGTAGGTGTGAAAATGGGTTCAGGTGAGGGGCAAAGAGGAGGAAAAGAAAATGAGGAAGAGATGAGGAAAAGGTAAAAGAGGAATGAGTGTAACACAGCGGAAACAGAGAGTGAATGTTCTGGAAAGAGAAGTGATGAAGATTAAAATAGTAATCAGTGAAAAAAACGTGCATTGTGTGACAGCACTCATAAACACACATTCATGAACAAAAAAAAAAGACCACACACAGACAGTGAGACTAGCTGTGTGTTTTATAGACTTCATTTAGTCTGGTCTCTTTAGCAGAGCCAAGTCAGCAGTTTGGTCCAGTATGAATTCATATCAGCAGAAATGAACAGATCAATAAAGACTTAATAGACCCTGAAGAGAGGGAATCAGGAAGATGGAGAGAGGAAGGGTGAGAGGAAGGGGAGTAACCCGGGGTACAGAGAAAGGAAGCTTTATAAAAATAAGCACAATGCTGGGTAGGAGAAATAAATCGGCCAATTATATACATTCAGATAAATGGAAAGAAATAGAGTTATGTATAGTGAAAATTATATTACAGACTGAATGTGAAAGAAAAGCAAGAAAAGTGGAAAAATATATACAAATAAACTGTGACTCTAGAAACCTTTTTAGTTGTACCTGAATCTCTAAAAGCAAAGTGCTGATCTGATATGCACACACAACATACCAATTTCTTTTTGGCAATCCAAATGGCTACATAATAGTCATTATTTGCACACTGAGAGAAAATAACGTGTATTTTTCTGAGTGTTGAAGTGTTCTATAAGTGTTGAAAATGAGCAGAGTGAATTCAAAGTACAAATTGCATCAAAAGATCAAACATAACAGAATAGAGTATTTTGAAATGTGTCCACTTGTCAGTAAAGTACATACAGTAAGTAACATTTACTGAACCCTGCTGACCTGAGACCTCTCCAAAAAGACGCCTGACTTAGCCAGGTGTTCCTCACCTTTCTTTAGATCGATCCTCAGTCTTCGCCCTCCTCTCTTATTGGCCACCAAGCTGGAGAGGGCAGGACTTTTCTTAAGGAGGGGGCTCTCACTCCTCCCCTTGGGTGTCTACGTGGATAATGTAGAGCATTGAAGTAAATTTTAAAGCACTAAAACACAAAGTAAGGCTACACAAGAAGATGACATTTTAAATGCCCCATTTGCGGATCTGAATTGCCTCTATTTGTCACATTCTACTTGCATCATATCTAAACCCTCTGGATATCAATTACTCTATAAGCTGTTGATTTTAAAACACTGTGATCGTCATCCACTTATTAAGCATTTCTTAGAGATTACCTTCTCAAACATGCTTTTACTTTTGTGGGTTTTGTGTGGAGATCAACTTCTTGTCTAAAAATTACCCAAGCCATCAATGCTGTACTGTGCCAAACCCAATTCATCACTAAGTAAGGAAAATAATGTATCTGCATTAAAGAATCGATGAGATTAATTTTTTTATACATATGTATATATATATTTATTTTTTTATAAAATAAGATGATAATCAGCTGTTGCTAAGTAACTGTTGCCTGTATACCAGCTGTTTCTCAAATGTCAGCCATGTCACCATGGTATGATGATGATGTTATTACGTGTGTCAAAAAACAAAACACAAACCCAGCAGAATTCAAAGTCATAAGAGAAGCATGAAAATAAAATACATAAGAATACAGTATGTGCAGGGTGTGGAAAGACTGAAAGAAACTGCTATTGGAAATATTTTGTCCGAAAAACTAGTTGGAAGGAGGTTGGTGGAAGCATTCAAGCTTGTATGTTCTCTAAGAAAGTTGTGCAGAAAGCTGTTGCACACAGATTTGATAAAGTAGGAGAACTTTGAAGAGAAGTTTGTTTGCTAGACTCAGAACAACTTGTCCAATTTAACAATATTGTGGCATCTACATTGTGTTTTCAGTAATTTCTATTTAAAAAGTGATCTTGTAACTAGCTCATACTGTATGTAGGTGAGATTTAAAATCTCTCAGAAAGTTCTAAAGGTCAAGATGTGTTTCGTCGACTTGGAGCAGAGCAACGTACATTAACAGCAGCTTCCATAGTGGCAGCCTCCTCCGCCAATCGCGTGGTTGGATTCTCAGAGGGCTTAAACACAGGTTTGGCTTTGACAGGTGGAGGTGGCTCTTTGGTCTTGGAGATGCGGGGGCTGCTGTCAGGACCGGCGCCGTTGCCAAACAGCTGACCAATCAGATTCTTCTCGTAGCGTTCTCTGCTGGAGGAGGGAACTACTTCCAAACGGACAACTGGGGAACGCATTGCCTGACGGAATACTTCCTGGGCTCTGGGAGGGTGAGAGGAAGGGAGATAGAGACAAGTGTCTAAGTGAGTGATTGGTACAGAGGAAGAGTGGGAACAGTAGACAAAAAGTTTTGTTCATTAAGTATGTGTTCTACATATGGCACCATTAAAACTAATCATGCCATTAATCACAATTACAAACAGGGTGTAGTTATCAATCTCTGACAAGCAAAGGATGTATAACTCAATTAGGAGAAAAATAATAATACAAGACACAAGGTATACATCTGATTACAAATGACAAATTAAGAGTTTCCATTAATTGCTAATTATTATAAATGTGGTTAAGATTTTCAAAAAGTGTAACACACCGCAGCATATCTAATGCTCATACATCTTTACTAAACTGATTTTAAGTGACCGTCAATTCCAAGACTGATAAGTATAACTGTAACTAAGAAATGTTTTCATTGGCAATTATTTTTCAATGAATCCAAATGATTGTATAGTCTCTTAAAGGTCCGAAATAATGAAACAGTTTATAATCCTATTTTAAATGTATCTCTAAATTATCTCATAATCTCTATCTATTTGTTTTTTTGTTTTGTTTTGTCTAATTTTTTTTTTTCATTTGTCAGTAGTTACTTCTGGTGGGTCACTGCATCTGTTGCTGAGCTACAAAATAAACTCAAGGCGGGCTAAAGCAGAAGATGAAACACAGAACCATGACACCTGTACACCAGTCCATTATAATCTCATGATCCATAAAAGAGACAATTTTGTAGAGAATTAGTTTATATCAGATTATGCTAAGTAAATTAGAGGGACCACTGTGTCAGAGGCGATTGGTGCACACCATCATTCACCTCAGATAACCAACAGAGAAAATCCAGTTTATTTAAATTTTATTGGATTACACTCCTATTATTTCCCGGCGAGATTATTATTAGATGTATAATGATCATAATGTTTCTGTAACTAGACACTATGTTTAGAAAGTCGAAGTAAGAAGGATATACACATTTGAATACATTAAATATGTAATAATAATACAATAAAATTGTATATTTTAATATGATAGGAAGAATTACGGAAAAAAACTGGTGATAAAATGGTGATGAAATGGCATCATAGAGAAATTCACCCCTTAACCACCAGAGAAAATCAACTATGCTTAAAGTATATATAATTTACATTTACGACCAACTGATTTGCATGGCATCTACTATGTATTATACTTATAGTCACTGAGCCTTTTTTTAGACCGAGGCTTCTAGGTGAATGTACCTGTAAGTCTTAGTATACTTAACTCAATTTGCACTTATAATACTGTATGTTGGGTGTTTAGAAGGTGGGGGTAAGAGAAGCTCCATTGTAATTCTAAGTAATTATATTGTGCAAATTGTTAAACAATGGGTAAAACTTTCTAAATTGTGTTCATGAAGTATAAAGACTTATACCTGCCAGCTATTGCAGGGGACTGAGCAACCCATTCATATTCTGCATATAAACCCAAGGGGCCAACATTTGTGAATGATGCACTAAGTAATAAGTGTTTATAAGTATGAATGTGTGTATGTGTTTGGAGATGGGTGGCCATCTCTTCTTCATTCTACTCAGACAGGATTTGCATATTGAAACTATTAAACACACAAGGCAGTCTAAGCAAGTGCTTGTGTCACACACCTTGCTGAATGACACTTGTAGTAATTTTCATTGTATTAAGACCACAATACAGAACAATGAAGCTACATTTGATTGATGTGTGTATAGGGACAATTGTGAACAGATGATATCATTATTGTTCCTGATTGGACAACGTGTGCAGGCACATTTGTGTAAAAGAGATATTCTAATTACGCAGGCTACCTCAATACAGCTGCCAAGCTGGGACAATGGGGGTGTGTAAGTGTGTGTGGACATGGCACTCACAGGGATCAGTGGACTTTCTGTGGCCTACTTACACATATTTCACTGGTCCAAGCTACACATCTCAATACACCTGCCACGACAGAACAATACTGGCAAGACTATGTATGTGTGTGTGTGTTAAGATCACACTCAAGCCTATTGAAAGTTGAGAAATGGCCTGTCTATATCACATACCAGATTAAATACTAGATTGTTTTATGTTTTATTCATATTGACATTTGTCTGCACATACGTACAGATATGTGTTTTAAGTTATATGGATGAAAAACTGTATGCGCGTGCATGTGTATTGGTGTTTGTGAGTGAGCACACAAGGGACTATACACGTCTTTGAACAATAGGTGCAAACCACCCTCCGGTGATAATCCATTTACCTACACTGCAGCATAAAATACCTCACATATAATCGTATTACCCAACTGAAGGCTGGACAACGACTATTGTGTAGACTGTATGGACACTGTAATGTGCTGTAATCATTATAACATCCTCATCAGTCCTTGTAATCTGTAGCAATCGTTTTTACAGGTGTGTCTTTTGTCATTTCAATGCTCTATAATCATGTTACATCCCCAAATACTCTCATGTTAATGTACTTCTTTTCATCTGCTACAGTGGCACAGTAAGCAAACTCTACTGAGAAACACACACACAGAAAGGCCAGCTCTAACACACACACACACAC